TGTATGTGTATTTTTACGATATATACTCATGCTTTCTACACTGTTGTTAAATTGTAAATCCAGAAAGTGTACTGTGTCACTGTTTTCAAATTATTCAAAAGTAAAATTTATCTGTCTATGAAAAGCATGGGCTTAGCTAATACTAGCGTGTCGTCAACAAAACGAGTATAAAACTAATACTTTCAAGTTAATTACTTTCAAGTTCTTCAAAATTCAAGGTGTTCCCCTCTTGAAAATTATTATAATGAATCAATGAACCCAGAGAATGGGAGGTTCGAGTTCTTTCCGGGAAAATGTTGATTTCTAAATGGTGGACAATGAGATTTTTAATGACTTTAATTTTTAAATGACTTTAATGTAAAAGACACCTCAGAAGTCGGGAAAACTCATTTCCCGCCTTCTAGGAATCAAAATTTTCCTGGGGAAGAACCTCCGGACCCCCCTTTCTTTTTGGGATTCATCGATTCATGGAAAATTCGTATGCAACTACTCGTTTTTAAAAAATTGTTATGTATGTATACACACATAAGCCCTATTTACTGTAATAACAATGGGAAAAAATTACCTGACCGTTTTCAAGATGGGAAACCTTGAATTTTGAAGAACTTAAACGTAATTAAAGACACGTCAGAAGTCGGGAAAGCTCATTTCCCGCCATCTATAAATCGAAATTTTCCCAGGGGAGGAATGTTGAAAAAGAGAAGAGAAAAATAAAGACAAGAATAAAAAGGAAGATATAATGAACAGATATCACAATACCCCGGCCTGCAACCCCTTCTCCACTTCAAAAAGTGTCCATAGCGCATTTGATCTAAGCCGCCAGATATTCTCCGCAGTGGCGTAAGCACAGGGGGACAAGGAGAAAATATCCATCTGTGGAAAATCTTTCCCCATTGAATGCCCTTTTCACCCGGGAAAGTGCCTGAAAACCTCAAATTTTAAATCGCATATTTTGTTGAGGTAGGCCAATTTCCTGTAAAAATTGCACATTTTAGGGAGTTTTGATCAATTCCGACGAAATTAGAATTAAAAAAACAAACATTTTTCGCGCGCTTCGCACATTTTTTAATCTTCAAGCTTGTGCTTGCTCTATTTTGCCTTCGAAGTTATAACACATATTCCCAAACTCAAGAAAGAAAATTTAAGATAGATCGTTTTTTACCTAAAAGAAGGGTCTCAATGTGTAATGATGTTGAAAGAATATGTTTGTAATAAATAAAGCCATAAGGAAAATGCTTATATTCAGTTTAAAAAAACGAGTGTGGCCATATATAACATAAGAGAATTTCTTGTTGAGGTAGGCCAATTTCCTCTAAAAATTGCACATTTAGGGAGTTTTGATCAATTCCGACGAAATTAGAATTAAAAACACAAAAATTTTTCGCACACATTTGTTAGTGTTAAAGCTTGTGCTTGCCCTCCTTTACCTTCTAAATTATTTAAAAACCTAATAGTCCCAGACTTGAGAAAGAAATTTTAAGATAGATCATTTTACCTAAAAGAAAGGCCTCAATGTGTAATGATGGTGAAAGAATAGGCCTATGATTGTAATAAATAAAACCACGATGAAAATGCTTACATTTAGTTTCAAACACACGTGTGTGGCCTATATTAATAATAAAATAAGCCCTATGTCGTATTGTTTTCTATATGGGGGGGGGGGGTATCACACCAAGTCATAAATTACTAACCGGGAAAATTATTACCTTTGTTCCCCCTCCCCGACCCAACACCCCTGTTACGCGCCTATATTATAAGTGGGGTCCCCCACTTTGAAAAATGTTCCGCCGGCCCTGTTTTGTTGTTATACATTTGAACACAAATAATGTCAGATACAAATTTCTCAGAGAATCAGTTAAGTTGGCAACAAGCGAACAGCTTGTTTGAGCTGTCTTCAGAAATGTAAAAAACAACTAAACTGACAACATGGATCTTTTAACAAAGAGCATGGCTCAACTAAAAATGTTCATTTAAAAAAAAAAAAAAAATCTCATGGTTCGATCGTGGCGGCAGAAATATGCATTCTCAAGAAAAAATGTGGATTCCTAACAGATTTTCAGTTGTAAATATACAACCCTAAAGTAGCAATGAATGCATTTCCTGGTATCTAGGGAAACAACACCCCCCAGGGAAGGGGTTTTTAGAACAAAAGTCTCGTGCCTGCATATTAGTCAAACTGAGCATGTATGCACCACTGGTTATTACAATTATGAATTCATTACACAGTCTGGTGCTGGTGAAAGGGACTTTTGCACCTGAAGGTTGCCAAGGATCTCTCAAGTGGTACAGTCTTTCTTCACAGATGTGTCTGATTTTAAATGTTAGTGTTTTGCATTTGTTGTAGGTTTAACAAGACCTTTTGATCAGATGGTTTCCCTTTAGGTTGTTTGTGTATCACTGCAATTGCTTTGTATTGCAATTAAGTAAATTTAATTTTATATAATTTGTTATTTATATAATTTAGTTAATTGCAAATACACCTGTTTAATATAGGCATATGAAAAAATCACAAAATCCTACTTCATGTACTGATAGTTTTCCATAAAACATTTTATTAAGACAATTGAATCTAGCGAATGATGTCCACTCATATACATTACTGAGCGGTCAATATTTTCTGATTTTATTTACATTTTGATAAAGAAACAATTTTTAAATCATGCAACAAAAACGGCACATCAATAACGGGTACATGGTGATCGAGATTTAGTTATTCTAGTTGGAGACAGAGTAACTAAATCTCTGATACAAAAGAAAACCAAAAGTATTGAACTGATGTGCAAATCAAATTAATTTGTAAACTAACAGGCATTTCCACTAATAATCTGCATATCAAAGTGCATGGTAGTTTAAAACTGTACTCTTATAAAAAACATTGCACTTTTTAAAAAATCTCATTCACTTTTTGAAAAAAATTCAGATACGGTCGCGAATATCATCAATGGTCATTTTTCAACACAAAAAATATTGCTCGAGAAATATCAAATCATATCAACTATCATTTGTGTTGGCCTTTAACATTTCATCTCCATTAACTTCAGGTAAGTTAGCACCAACAGGTAAAAATCAACCAGGTGAATACTCATTAATACAACCATGACTGAAATGTTTTGATTGCAGAGATTACAGTGTTTACCCCTAATGTTAACCTACTGTATGCATTGCATGTACAGTAACTTGTAAAATTGAGAAAGCACTACATAAATACTATATGACACATTTTGGCAACCAAGTCAAGAAGCGATGCATGTTAACAAAACCACAAGTTGATTTTGTTAAATGTCTAGTTTTTAATAACATTATTTTAACCTAGACCCTCGTGTGCACCTTAACCAAGTATCTGCATTATCAAGAATTCATAGGGTCCAACAACCTTTATTTATACAATTTTAACATTTACTCTGTACAAAGTTTAATTCCTACGATATAAAGTTTTACAACAGAAAAATTGTTTCGATACAGAGGCTATGCTTAACAACCGGCCCTCTTTACTAATCTCTTTCTAATATAGACATTTTGGGACTAGTCTTTAAAGCATAACATGTACACTCACACACGATTGAGCAAAGTCCAAATCCCAGGTGAAGAGTGAAAAAGTGGACATAAAACAAAAATATTTTACTACATTTTACTGTACAGGTAAACATGAAAGCATATCACATTCAGTACTATAATACTACAGTAATACATTAACAAATATGAGATTATATGTATACAGAAAAACCAACTATTTTGAATAACCAAGCCTATTAAATAATTTTGTACTTTTTACACTGATGCTTAAACAACTCTTTATACCAGGTATGCTTAATTGATAATGACACAGGATTCTATTTAATTAATGTTAAGCACCTGCGTTCAACCACCCTTCACACTGGAAGAACTATACTTGAAAGAATAAAAAAAACCAAATGAAAACATTCTCCCAAATACAGACACTCTCGTTTAGTGTTAGTAGGAAGTTATTAGTATACTCAGGAGTATTTTGATCGTAACAATCAATATAACATTTTGGCAATTTCTAGTATAATTATCATTATATGAAGAGTTGTATTATTTTAATAAACTATTATACGTACAGTTGAACTTGCCTAAGTCGAATCCAAAATGACACTGAAAAATTGTTCGACTTGGAGAAAATTTGACTTACAGATTGTTAACGGAAAGTACAACCATTTGGCATGTAAAATAAAATCGACTTAGGCAAGTTAAACTCTATATCCATGCCTGCTGAACTTCTGACATTGACAATAGAATTCTAATTTAACTGGACAGGAACAACCACACCTACACCCTGGCAGTATTTCCTCTTGTCCACCACTTCAGTTTTTCTTAATGTATTTTTATACCCCAAAGTATAGGTATACAATCAGATGTACTGTACTGTACTTGCATTTGGACAATGTTATGGGAATAGAGCGAAAATAACATTGAAGCTGATGAAGTAATCCTCCAATTGTATAAGAATAAGATTGACGGCAGCAGATGTCCTCTGTCCATATATCAAAGCTTATGTGACAAATACATGTAATTTGTCTATATACGGGTATGATATAACATCACCATGAACAAATATGGGCAAATCACAGATATTTGTTGCATAAAACTTTATAGTGGGGATAAAGCTCAACGGTGTGTGCATTACAATAGAACAGCTGCAAGCGATATAGAATTGATACTTGATAAAAACTTCAACTGGGAAATCAGATTTAAAATACTACTTGGGTGGCTGGTCCTCGTGATATCCTGATGTCTGCAAATGGTTCAATCTGTTCTACACAAATATCCTGTTGTTTCTTCAACACTAATAATGAATAGAACTTGGCAGCTACTTGTTTTCTGTTGTTATTCCTGACAAGATCTCCAAAGTATGCATACTCCTCCTTCTCAAATTGCCTTTTAATTGTATTTAACATCTGTGTTGCTCGCTTGTTCAGTTTTCGTTCTGTTCGTGCTTCCGTTGTTTCATCGTCATTCTAAAAAGACATGTAAATTATTAAATAGTAGAACTTTCAAGGAAGATAATTTCAAGCCTTTAACTTTGTGTGATCCATTTAGAGGATGGGGTTCAACTTACGTTACTGTGCTAACTAATTTGTTTTCAAATAAAAAATAGATGAGCCGTACTAGTCTAATATATAATAGTACTTTTATGACTAGTTTATTTGTGACAAGCTTGTGTACTGTAACAAATAAACTAGTCATAAATGTACTGAATATCCTGAGTTTTATTTTCTAATTTGTTTTCAATAATGAATATGTACACTCACCTCTTCTTCGTCTGATGATTCTTCTTCTTCTACTACAGGTTCATCTACAATCTGTACAGGTGGTAAGGCTGATGGAACAAAGGCTGGTACATCATCATCGTCATCATCATCATCTTCGTAACCACCGAAATCAAAGCCGCCATCATCATCATCTGATGACGGCCTTCTTGCTTGTGTGAAATCCTCAACGTTTGATGTGGTAGGCTCCTCTGGCTGTTGCTGCTCTTCTGGTGGTTGTGGTGTTTCTATGATATGCTCAGCTGGTAGCAAAGATTCTCTAGGTGCCACATCTGAGAAAATTAATCAATTACACAAATCAATGACAGTCTGTAGATGTGGTGGTAAGGCCGATGGAACATTGGCAAAATGACAACATTGGTGATATAAAACTTGATTATAAAATTTCTGTCAGAATAAACTACTGTTTTGAACAATAACAATTTAAAAATAAAATTTATTATAAAATTACTTTACATATTATAACAAATATTTTTTTTGTTTTCCCAGACTTTACAGTATATCTATTCAAACAAGGATACCAATGAAAAGCAGAGAAACTTTTATTATCTTTAGAGTGATGTTTTTATAAAAAATATGTCACAACTGACAGGAAAAAAATAAGATTGATTACCAATTTCACTGTGTTTCCTTTTCTGTCGAGGGATGTGTGTTTCTTCAATTTCCATAGGATCAGATGGTATATTCTTTGGCAAGTCTTTAGGAGTCTCAGCAGTGAGATTCTTTGTATAACTCTGAATTAAGAAAACAGCATTTGTTTTTAAGTCTCTCAGCAGAAATCATTCTATGTACTAACTAAATGTTGTAATTCATTTGATAAAAATCATTAAAAAGAACAAAAAAAACATGAACATGTTATTCAGATTTGCCATCTACTAACAATGATTTAGGAACATTTTTTACAACAGCAACCAATCCAAAGTCAATTTTTTAAGTAGCTGATATAGTATAAAGGCTATAATGGTACTTTGTTTGATTAATGCCAAATTCATCGAAATAGATCCGTTTATACAAAAAACATAATTCACTACATAATATTTAAAATGCAATCAAATACAGGATACATGGACAGCATTGTTTATTTTGAATTATTTTATTGACAATATTTTAAAGCGTCACGAAAAAAGCATCAAGCATCACGGCCAGCTTGGGAGTGTCACGGTGAAGTCCCAAACATCATGGTACTGTGACACTTCAAGGGCCTGGGGAGAACACTGATGTAGTATGTGGAACACTTAGTCAGCAATACACTTACCCTCAAAATTATTTCTGAAGCATGTAATCTGCCAGGTAAAACAAAGAGTTTCTCAGCCCCACCAGTCTCCTTCCATAGCATAAGCTTTTTGGTGGGCGGGGCTAAATCTAAGGTGGTGACAATGTCTGATGTGTCTTTGAGTTGTGCTTTGATGATGTCGCCAGCAAGTTCCTTTACTTCGTCGACAATCAACTTTCGTTTTCTCCTATGCCTGATCTCTTTTACACCTTTAAGAAGAATAGGATGAATTCAGTATTTAATTATTCTTATGGAGATAGCACTACATAAATTTAATTAACTGAAAATTGTAACAATTTTCTTGAATGTTTAAAAAATATAATTTACAGAGTGTTTGTACATATTCATAACTGTCAGCACATTTAAGGATTATTTTTGTTTAAAGGCATCTGTAAATCAATAAAAAAATTATTTTTTCATTCTATAAATTATTGAAAGTTAATAACTTTGTTATTTAAATAAGAAATCCAAAGTATTATTGTATTATTTACAGCTTTTTCTTAAAGTTGTGGGTGGCAGATCAATTAATCAACGTAAAAAAGTCTGATTGCACATGTTTTAAAAAGTGATAATGTATATTTTTCTTGATAAAATCAAGTTTGTTGTATTTAGTTATTAATAGTTCGATCTTTTCTTCCATTTCTGGTATAATAATCACTATATTAATGTAATAAACCTAACCAGAACAACGAACTACCAACGCAAGTGTCGTCGGATTAAGCACACATGTTTACAATGACGAATGAGAGTGTTGGGGTCACAAAACTGTTGACATCGCGAATGCTAGATATGATTGCGAAATACATGTAAACAATACATTTCAGCGATCTAACAACTAGAAAAAGATGATTGAAAGGTCCATAAAACATACAGATGTTTGAATAGAGTTAAAATAACATTTTAAGTCTTAGTATGCCAGCTATTAAAATAATTTGGTTTTTATCGAAGGTAAATTCAGCTAGACTTTAGCGCGACAGACCACGCTACTGCACTGTCGGTTCGTGCTAGGTCTGGCTGCCGTAAGCTATCGACGCTCAATGGCAGGCGGTAGCTAGGCCTAGGTATTGTAAACAGACACCCGATCTAGTTTTGCGAATTTTTCAATTTATGAACACCCCCTTGGTACCAAGGGGTACGTATAATGGACGTTTTACTGTATTATTCATACCTGTAACGTCAAGTGGCTCTAGAGCAAAGGCCTCCTCTTCATTGGCAACAAGTGTTGTTTGATCTACAGGAGCATTTGATTGCTGCTCGGAATTTTCTTCATTTGACGCTTTGTTTGCAGATGATTCCTGGCTTTCAACTGTAAATGAAAATAGTCAGACATAGATTGATCTGAGAACTTCCAAAGTTTCATTTATACACTCTTACTAATTGCAATGTTTTAAAGGATAATTTTCTATTCAAAACTGTATAATTACCATAAAATTTATTGATGTAAAGATAACAGATTATTTATTGGTCACTCAACTTGAAGTGCATAGAGGCCTTAGCATGATACACTATATAGACTACCATTATTATTGAATTGTCTGAACAAACAAATACGGTATGACACAAGACATGTTTGATCAGACATGTCCGATACAAGTATATAACATAGGACACAATCTGATCTGATTAGTTAATGGGTTATAGGACATACCTTCTGCAATTGTTGCTTCCCTTTCTTTATCTTCGTCATCCTTCTTTCCTGTTGAGCTAGTTGTTGACATGGCATCTTCAGGTCGCAGCTGAATTTCCCCTGCAGGAATCTCTGGATGTTCATCAAAGAGGTCACTAGCTCCTGTCATGAATCCATCCCCTAAGCAATGCAAATTTAATAACACAAATAAACAATGCTGTTTAAATCAAATTCTTACAATCATTTACTAGTATCTAAATACAGGTCTCCCTCTAATTAAAGTCTGGTATCCCATTAGGGGTTGATTAATACAAAAAAATTACAAATATGTAAACCTCAAATTTACAAAACTTACCAATAAGAGGATCACTAGTGCCTATCTGTCCGCCAAAGCCATCATAGCGTATTGGTTGATCAAGATCTATATCCATCTGCTTCTCCAATGAGGTGTCAATAGCACTGCCTTTCTTGGAGACTTCCAATAGAGTACTATCATGCCCACCATGCTTGTAAAGGGAGTCTTCGCCACTGCCTGCATCTCGCATTACAGAATGATCAAATCCAAGGTCTCCTAAATGATGACAACAAATCAAATTATATGCAATTTAATGAAATTGCTTTGATTAAACAGAGTCCTAAAATTTTAAGGATTTTACATAGCATTATAAGTTTTATGGTGAAACAGTTTTCTCTTAAATCAGGACAAATGCTTTATTTTGTGGTCAAAATTTAGTCTGTAAAAGTATATTAAAGACCTTTACCTGTCTAGTTTGATAAATAAGTTTTGTTACATGCTGCACTTTTTTTTTTTACTTTAGGATAATTACCCATGATATATATCCAAGTTATGTTCAGATGACAATTTCATGCTATGAATAATCATATCACAACTTACAATGAATCCCCAAGTATATGGTAGTTTGAATAAATGTACAACATGAAAGTAATCATTCATTTTCGCTTCTAAAACATTTAAGGAAAACATAATGGTACATACCCATGCCAAAGCCATCATCATGGCCTAAAGTAATGTTGCCAAGATCTTCCTTCATCGTGATTTCTTCCACACGACTTTGATTCAATGTAAACTGCTTCTGAACTTCAGCATCACTATAAGCAATCAGAAAAAAAAAATAAATAAAAAAACAAAAAATCCATTATTATCATCAATTCTAAATAGTTTCACTAACAGCATCACTGTTTTGTTGATTTATTTTTTCCCCCATCAATCTCTTTGGTTCAGTTTTCTGTATCTTTGATTTTGATGTGTTGTTTCAATTTTAAATACCCTCTGCCGTATCCTATCACATGAGAGCAGCTAGCTCAATTGGATAAACTGGTGGTAGCCATTGTGTTTGCACTGAATCGTGAAGATACTTAGGTCCCCAGTTCAATTCCCATCACTGCCCTCCCTGTGTTTCAACTGGAGGGCTGAAATGCAAATTTCAAAAGCGCACTGTCTTTCGGATGAGAAGTTTAAGCCATTGGTCCTGTGTGCAAAATGGCCCATGGGCATGTTAAAGAATGCAGTCCACTCGGAAAAGAGTAGGGGATTGTATCCCAGTGTACTTCCCAAATTCACAAACAGAAGGACCTAACAGAACTTTTGTGGACAATCCTTAGTGTGTGTCACACCGAAGAAATCCAATCCAATCCCCTCAAGCATTCACGATATGGATATACTCACTACACATAAAACTTACTTTATCTCTGGCATGGCTGTATCAAAGTCATGGAATACTTCTGGCAGAGTGATGGCAGCAAAGGCTGCCTCTCTGTTCTCCTCCGGCAGATCAACTACACCAGGTCTGAATGCCATCTTGATTTTAACAAATGCTTCATTACAGTCAGCTAGCAAATACTTGGCTTTTCGACTATGAATTCGTACAACTCCTAATAGTAAATGGCCTGTTGTTCTAAGTGCCATTTTTACCTAAACCAAACAATAACGCAAGTTTAATTACATGTAATCTATATATATTTTTTTGCAAGGTAAAAACAAGTATCTTACGGGGGATTAAAATTAGGCCTACAGTACCGTCATGAAATATTGCACTTTTACCTGCGCACAGGCTTCGTAGATACATCGTAGCCTGATATAAACAATCTAACCTGCGCGCAGGCTTCGTAGCATGATATAAACAATCTAACCAAGGCTACGCGAAGCGAACCTACGAAGCAAAAGCATGTTGTTTATTTGTATGTGCAGAAAGACTGCTGTAGCTTACTGGAATGAACAATGTATAATTTGTGAATGGCAAACACGAGTTTAGACCGTTAATTTAAAGTATGGAACTGTTTTTCAATAAGAAAAACGTACACTTGACTTCATGGGAGTCTCCTCTTTCACTCGCTGTCCACGACAGGAACTTGTTTGTACTGCTGTATTATTTTTTTTAAT